CTGCCCTTTGCCATCGGCCCTTGGTGCTCACAGTCCCCCTGTGGTACTTGCTGGACTGGACTGGGACTTTCTAGACCCTTCTCCTGACTGTAGGCGGTCGTACCGTCGACTCAGTGCAGTTGCACTGAGGTCCTACCTGTTGACCTTGCCACTTGTCTTCGTCTGAAAACGTGGGCCTACCTTAGACTCACCACTTGACCACTTGCGGACCTTCTAGAAGGACTAAAGCTAGGCCTCTGGACTCTACTTGGACACCTACCTTACAGGTCTACAGTTCGAATCTCCCTACAGCCTACAACCTACGGCGACCTACTTACCACTGGCTATCGTGCAGGTCACGGGTTCAACTCCAGGGAACTGTGCAGATACTGTACACAGGTAAGCTGAGGTCAAAGGATCGACCCCTGGGATCTGCATCGGCTACTGCAAAAGGTGAAAACTGTTTCAGTAGTATTAATCTGTGGGCGTGCACGGTTGGGGTTGCAGTGTGTCAGGTGGGTGAAAAGAGGCAGCGGAGGTCAAAATCGGGAAGTACGGGGTGGGGTAGGGTAGCAGAAAAAGACACAAAAAAGTAGTACCTTTGAGCAGGCCGTGCTAGCATCGTATAGTCCAGTAGGCTTATAGACAGCTACCGGTCTAGTAGGCTAGGTCTAGGGCCTGCAAGGAAAGATGTCAGACTGCAAGGATGTTCGTGCCAGATGCGGGGAAGCAACAGGTAGGCAGAGAGGCCAGGTACCCTGGAAGTGCCCACGGTGTGTGGGGCTGTAGTATAAGTGAAGATGCAGCCAAGCATTCCGTCGCCTTCTCCCAGATGCAAGCCGTGACGCTGCTGGAGGCGCGCACCAGTTGGGTGACGTGCTGGTTGGACGAAGGAGGCGGAGCTTTGCCCCCACCTCTGCTATGGTGGAGGTGACCAAGGTGGAGGTAGTAGGTGGTGGTGGTCTTCGTGTATGGGAGGGAAGACGTGGGAGTAGAAGTCGACGGTGAGAGGGAGAGAGATGGGGTTGATGATGTGAAGGCACGTACCTGGTCTTGGTGATGGTCTACAAGGTCGACATCTTCATGCACTTTGGTTGTTGCTGCTGATATCAACGGGGATGCATTGTCAATTCGTAGGCTGCTAGTAGCTGCGTGATCGTAATCTGGGCGCTGAGCGCCAAGTAGGAGGAAGGGCTCTGGATACATACGTTGGTGGTGGCGAGAGTGTGCTCTCATTGACATTCGGATTTGGTGCTTTGGTTCTCCGTTGGTGATATTTCGGTGCATCTCTGCTTTCTGGACAGCGTTGGACTTTCTAACTTTCAAATTTCAATGTGATTTTGCATTCTGGATTTCTGTCATTTCGCTATCGCTCATTTTCCTTGCACATTTCCCTTCCGCTTGTTATTATTAATAATAAAAAAAGATGTTGTGAGAGCTGCTGGAGGTGGGAGATGGTGGCGAGTTGTGGGAGAAGTGACATTGGTTCTTGCTTGTGTTCTTCTTCTTCTTCTTCTTCTTCTTCTTCTTCTTCTTCTTCTTCTTCCACCACCACCATACTCCACTCCTCTTCCTCCTTTGTCTGTTTCTCTTTCCAATCTCTTTCATCTTAGTTGCGATTGAACGGCAATATCTTTTCTTGCAGTTTTGCACTGTGAGGTATCCACGATCATAACGTAAAGCTGACATAAGAGAATGATGAAAGCGATGATCATGCACAATGCTCTGGAAATAGAACTCTCTCACTGACCACAGCAACAGTAGTAGATCCTAGTATATGCACTCCAGCACACATACACATCCCAGCAATCACTCTGGAAAGACACTCGGAAATGGGTAGCTCGTCAAGTCTGGCGCTATCTATATCCCCCTTGCATGCCTGCAGTACGCGATTCTCTTCTACTTCTCTGTTCCTCGCTTCAAGGACTGGTGCATCCGAGCCTCTTTTTGCCGTGGTGGTTTCGCTCTATGTGCCAAGATTTGGTGAATCGCCGCCCGCGCACACTTTCTTTTCTGTGGGGGGGGTGCTGGTGCCACGAGCCACTATGGTCCGGTCGTTCTGACTCCCTGCAATTTTCAGAATCCCGCTCAATTTTCATTTCAGACTCCCGCTCAATTTTCATTTCAGACTTCCACTCAATTTTCAGACTCCTGCTCAATTCAGGTTCTCAAGCTTGCCTCGGCGATGTTCTGGTGGTTTAAGCACGACTCTGTAAAGGATTCGCCCATGGCAACAGTGGTAGATACTAGATTCTACCGTCTTCACCCGAGTAGAACGCGAGGCGTTCATTATGTCTGCATCTGGACTGGTATTTGCCCCCGAATACAGCTATTATAATGACCGAGCGTTCCATTCGGGTGGAAACGCTAGTATTCTCAAGAAAACATAACCACCATTCCAGCAATGACTCAGCAATGACTCAGAAAACACACACCCAAAACTGAGTAGCTCCTCAAGCACAATGTGGTCGGTTTTAAAAACTCTCGCGGCGACCAGGACAACAGCAGCAGATTCTTGTATATACTCGAGCGAACTTATCCTCAAGAAAACATAACCATTCCAGCAATTACGCGGAAACACCCACATCCAAAACTGAGTAGCTCCTCGAGCACAATGTGCGCGATTTTGAAAACTCTCTCAGCGACGAGGACAACAGTAGCAGATTCTAGTATTCTAGTATTCTATTATGCTGAAGCAAACATATCCATCCCAGGATTTGCTCTGAAAGCACACCCAAAACTGAGTATCCTTAGCTCCTCGGGTGTTTGGCACTGTTTATATCCCTTACTGTTTCCTGCAGTTCGGACTCTTTTTGAATTTGTCTATTCGTCCCGGCTCCAGCATGGCACTGTGTGAGCAATCCACCCCTGTTACACTCGAGCATTGGTGACCACCGTACACAAGGAACCGCGACACAATTACACATACCGCGACGCTAGAGACAATTTGTCTTGTTAAATCTTGAAAGAAACATGCAAAAATTGAAAAATCAGAAAATCTGAATCTGGCTCAGTCCTTCGCGTGCAAAGCTTCGCAAATTCTTGAAGTGAAGGATACAAGAGACACACGGATATAGAAGGGGAAAAAAAAAGAAAAAGAAAAAGAAAAAAAAAAAAAGAGCGAGAGAGAGAGAGAGAGAGAGAGAGAGAGAGAGGGAGAGGGAGAGGCAGAAGAATATGAATGTGCGAAACGAGGATGAATATTTTGCCAAAAAATGTGAAGATACACTCGCATTTTATTTTTTTTTGTCTTTTCTGCATCTGGCGAGTTGTGGAGCGAGGCCTCATCTCTCGCGCATCTTCTACACCCACAAAGGCAATGCTCGCACCGAGACTTCGTTCCGTGATGCACTTGAGCAAGTGCCTGTTCTTAACAGCAGAGATTTTTAAAACTGAAAAACTGCTAATGTTTGTAACTAGGAATAATCCACCACCCTCTGCCGCAAAGCGGTTGTTGAATATTATTTTTTTTATTAAGGGAATTTTTTTAATTTGCCGAATACCCCTGAAAGTTGACGTACATGCTAAAATGCCCCTAAAAGATGTGTGGAGAGCGGAATAGCCCGCTGAAAATTTCAAAAGTTTGTCAAATGCCCTTTTGGATTTAAAGCTTTGGGATCTACCCCTGTCAGGGGGTTGTAAAAATTTGTATTCTGCCCTTGACAGAGGTATAGCAAGAAGCTTGGCACCCCCCATGACAAGGTTGCAACGCATCATTGAGCTGACCGGCCCCAGGCAATTCAAGCAATTCAGAAATACCTGGTTTATAACTTTTATTCATCTAGAAGACTAGAACCATCATCTGGATTTGAACTCTGGTTTGTACCCACTGAGCTAGGCTCTTGAGTATTAGGGGCATTTTTTAGCACGTACATGAATTCTCAGGGGTATTTCACAAAATTTTCCCTTTATTAATTTGGACCTGTTCTCAACAGATGCATTGCATCTTTAGCACAAGTTTTTAGCGGCGCTAAACTTTTCGGTGTATCGTTCCAATGTAACACATGTCCTGAAAGACGGACAGTTGTTGCATTTTCTTAACTCCAACAAATTTCTTGAACCCTTTTTTCAGCACCATCCAAAGTTTTCGAAATTTGAAGCAAATTCTCGAACTCTTTTTTCAGCACTATTCAAAGTTTTTCAAAGTTTTCCAACTTCAAAGTTTTGGCTATCTGACGGCACAACCCTGCTACACATTGATGACCAACACGGACAGGAAAAGCCGACAAGTCCGAACAGAAGCAGCTCGCTCGGAGGTTGATGCAGACTGTGCACTCAGCGTTTGAGTTAGTCGACCTTGACGATGGTGTGGCGAGGGCAGCTGTTGCACTCAGACTGGCAAGCATGTATATGGATGAAAAGAACACGGAAAAAGCCGCCGAGGTACAATTTCCGGCTATATTCCATGATACTCCATCTTCGAAAAGAGACACATCTCGTCCTTCAGGACGTCCATCAAACTTGGAACAAAATTGGAACGATAGAGAGAAGATTTGCATGGGCGTCGTGCAAGGATGACGTACATAAATCAAGAAATTGAAACAAACAAAAACAAAAAAGACGGATGCATCTTACCTTTGACACCC